CCAATGTCCTAGCATGGATATATCTATTATTTGTGATACTATATGGTTGTTTTTATATTGGTATAAAACTGATTGTAATTATAGTAGTGGTAAACTGAACTTATTTCTACCAAAGTCTTGTTTGTTTCTTTCAGAACATATTTTTTGATTAGAGGATTTTTGTCATGGTACAATTGTTGGTTTAACATATTGAAATTATTCTTTCAAGTTTTAGGCTTCTGGCACGTTTATATAGAACCATTAAATCATGACAAAAGGCTCTTGGGCAGTATTTCGTATTGAAGCAATCCTATATAGTTGTTTACTAAATGATAACGTGATTTTACACACTTTATTCAACCCGCGACTCAATAAAATACACGGTATGGAGCTCTTTTACGACCCGCGACTTTTTACCCGCGACATTTTACCCGCGACATTCTACCCGCGACACGCGACTTTTTACCCGCGACACGCGACCATTAGTCAAACTTATTAAATCATGACAAAAGGCTCTTGGGCAATATTTCGTATTGAAGCAATCCTATATAGTTGTTTACTAAATAATAACGTGATTTTTACACACTTTATTCAACCCGCGACTCAATAAAATACACGGTTTGGAGCTTTTTTACGACCCGCGACTTTTTACCCGCGACCCGCGACATTCTACCCGCGACACGCGACTTTTTACCCGCGACACGCGACCCGCGACCATTAGTCAAACTCAATTTATGTTGTTATCAAATTCAAGAGTATAATTATAAAGCAGTGAAGCCGAGGGTTTTAGATAAAGACCGAACTGCAAGGTTTGTATATGACTTCTAAAATGACTGATTTTGTACACTTACTGGCGTTGGAATTTTGAATATTGATGTTATAAAAATTAAAGGAGAAATTTTAAGCGAGTCTACTGTATATACTATGATATAGATTCGCTACGGGTCATGAAATTCCTTTGTAGATTGCTTATGAATTATTATTGAATTTTAGAAATATACATATAATATACAATATATACAGTTATACACCAATAGACCAATGCAGGCTGACTTATGTCAACTATTCTATTGTTTACCCAAGAGTTTCAGTTTGTAGACTTTAGTTTGCTTACCACCTTGCCAATTAGGTAGATGAGGAACACTTTCATTCGATTATTTTTATAACATTCCGCAAGATGTTCTCTCATTTTACTTTAATCCCACGTAACATAAGTTGGGTTCACTCCTTGTGTAAGTGCTGTGGCATTTGCTAGACAAAATAGGCCACAATCAGACAGGCCTTTCTGAAGTTGTTGTAAAACAACAGTCACTGTAAGTTGTCCCTCGACACAAACATTTTGGTACAGATACGCAAGTTGTTGCAGTAACGTTTTGTTGCAGTATAACGTTTTAAAGATTGCGTTTAAACTAAATAATACGATATAAACCTGAGGATATAATCTTCTTATCGCGCGCCTGCTGCTTGAAGTCCTTCAATTTAAATCCCACAAAGAGGGTCTTCCTGTGACTCGTGTAAGTTTACACTTCTGGCACAGTACTTCCGGTCTTAAGAATTTTGACGTCACTGTACGTACGTTAACGCTATATGATCTAACGCCGACCTCCTCTGAGCTGTGTTACCAAACTGAAAACAGTGCTTCCATTTTCAAGGAAATTTCCTTTTCTAAGGAAATTCTACTGTCGAAAAGGAAAATCTAAGGAAGAGAAAAAATCTAAGGAAATCTAAGGATTTTTTCCGAAAAACTTAAATATTCACCCAAGCGCATTAGTGCAGAAGAAGGTTTCCATTTTTTTTAATTTTTGAGAGAATTATCAATTATCTTTAATTAAAAATCTGTTTTTAACTTTTTTCTCGTGCTTCCGAAATTTCCGAAAGTTTTTAAGCGATGGGATTTAGTAACTTTTGGCGCCAAACGTTGTGAATAGTTAATTAATCATATCAATTTAAAGGTATCTCTTGTAAATTCATAACAAATATTTAATTTTAAACAGTATAATAGCCTTTGGTTTTTAGCTAGCCCATATCTTTGTTAATTGTGCTATTTTGTGCCTTGAAAATTAATTAAATCCTTTGTATTGCTGCAAAATCACTGCAAACTGCTTCATGAAATTTCAAGGAATTTTCAAGGAAATAACATATACAATCTAAGGAATTTAGAGAAATTTTGATGACAAAAATGAGAAATTTTGATTTTAAAAATGGAAGCACTGACTGAAAATCATTCCTTGTGTATTTACCACTGATCTGAAATAAGACTGGATAACGCATCTATAGTATACAAAAGTGAAGCCGGAAGTCACCGGCCGCCACCCGATTCTGGGGCCCCACTTTTGTATAGATTTGTATTACAGACGGTAGTTTTTCGCGTTTTTTTGCCTTGGCTACGTTTCCGATCGGGCCAATTTTACAATTACAACGATAGAAGCATACAAGAAGAATTTTGAGCAAAAAATTTGGAGTATTATGGCTTTATAACTCCGTGAAACGGGACTTATAACTCTGAAGGAGTGGAGAGCCTCAGACTTTGTTTATCACGGGTTTATCAACACGAGCTCGTTTTGCTACTTTCATACAAAATCAACTCAGAATATACAAGAATTATTGTTACTGGACGAATATTCTCACGAAATTTGAAGAAATGAAGCAGCTATATTGTGAACGAAAGCGTACAGAGGTTAGACTTTGTTTATCAACACGAGCTCGTTGCTACTTTCATACAAAATCAACTTAAAATATACAAAAATTACTGTTTACTGGACGAATATTCTCAGGAAACTTGAAGAAATGAAGCAGCTACATTGTGAACGAAAGCGTACTGAGGTTAGTTTTAAAATACCTTGAGGCTACTTTTATAATTATACGAATTTAATAAGGAACAGTTTTAAATGTCAATTTTGTCAAAAGCATTCCTAGGCGACTTGTCGAGAAGTTTTATATGTTTTAAAGTAGAAAGACAAGTGACAATGAAATATTTTTAATCCAAAATATAAACAACGACTCAATACTGATGTTATTTTAATTCATATAATTATGGAAGTAGCCTCAAGGTATTTTAAAACTAACCTCTGTACGCTTTCGTTCACAATTTCTTCAAATTTCGTGAGAATATTTGTCCAGTAACAATAATTCTTGTATATTTTGAGTTGATTTTGTATGAAAGTAGCAAAACGAGCTCGTGTTGATAAACAAAGTCTGAGGCTCTCCACTCCTTCAGAGTTATAAATCCCGTTTCGCGGCGTTATAAAGCCATAATACTCCAAATTTTTTGCTCAAAATTCTTCTTGTATGCTTCTATCGTTGTGATTGTAAAATTGGTCCGATCGGAAACGTAGCCAAGGCAAAAAACGCGAAAAACTACCGTCTGTAATACAGATCTATACAAAAGTGGGGCCCCAGAATCGGGTGGCGGCCGGTGACTTCCGGCTTCACTTTTGTATACTATAGATGCGTTATCCAGTCTTATTTCAGATCAGTGGTATTTACAAAGTCACAAGATGAGCAGCGAAGATATATTGGCGAAATTCGACGAATTGGTGAAGCGGTTCAAAGAGGAATTTAACGAAATTATCCAAGGCGAGCGAGCAAAAATGAAGGCGGAAGTGGAACAGTACAACGCAGAGAAGCAACGAATGAAACCGTTCGAAGTTAGCGACGATGATATAATACTTCTGAACGTCGGTGGACAAAAATTCACGAGCACAAGATCTACTTTGTGTCAAGTAGAAGGTTCCTTACTTGCCATCATGTTCAGTGGAAGGTGGGAACGTGGTCTCAAGCGTGATGAAGATGGCGCCGTATTCTTTGACTTCAACCCACAATATTTTGGTTATATTTTGGATTATCTTCGCATGAAGAAAATTGCGTCGTCAGAGAACTCTGCAGAATTTCCAAAAGTTCCAAGAGATGAAGTGAAAAATTTCAACACTCTTGTCGAGTACCTCGGCCTGAGTGATGAAATCGTAGTGCCTGTCGAAGAGACTGTTGAAATCGTCCCCACTGAGATTGTGCCAAGCGAGAAATTTAATTTACACAGCCCTGAAATTACTCTTCAGGAAGACGGGAAAGTAGCGGTTCTCACTTCAAAGGCAGCGTTTCGATATGCAATTGGTGAAAATATTTACCAACAAGGGATTGTGCGTCTCAAACTGAAGTTGGAATCATTTCAAAATAATGATTGGATGTTTGTTGGCATCGCGAAAGGGGATGGTCTACAAGAGGGCTACTACTTTTCATGTGGATGGCCAGGTTCGTATGGATGGGCACTCGGGACGACTGGTCAAGTATGGAAAGAAGGGAATATTACACGTGACAATTCTTTAAAAAATCTCACCAAGGCAGGTGACACAGTTGAGTTAGTGTTGGATTGTGATGCTGCCAAGCTGTCACTTAATTTGCCCACCGGAGAGCAATTTCACATTAATTTACCAAAGTCCCAAGGCCAAACCTGGAGACTGAATGTAAATTTACGTTATCTATATGACAAAATACACATTATTGAATATTAGTATAATTTCAGTTTTGAAAAATGGCCTTTGAGCATTCTGACTGGCTCCCTCAGCAGTGACTCTGAGGCAATAGTTACTGCCCAGACTGCTCTGAGCAGTAACTATTGCTTTTTCCCCCAAAAAATGGCTGAAATTATTTAGGCAAATCATATTCATAAAATAAACACGTACATTGGTTGTATTTATAAATAAAACTTTAATACTGAAATTATACCACTGAATTTATACTAAAACAATTAGTCGCCTCAGGCTCGGTGATTACAAGCCCATATTCACTTCGGCTCAGTGAATATAGGCTTGTAATCACCGAGCCGACTAATTGTTAAATAAAATTAAAGAACTTAATTGGCCCTTCATTAATTAAACGAAACTCATTACAATAAGAATTGTTCGTTAACAATACGATTATAAGTGTAGCCAAATTGACGAATCCATGTAAATAGCATATAGTTGAAAAAATATGCATATCAAAGTTTTTTTGTTTGTAATTCGACATATCAGTAATGGTATTTTTGTATGAATAAAGTTATTATTATTATTATCAAAGTTATAGCACTGGTAGTAAAAACCAAAGTACATTCTGTTTGTTTTATTAGGTTAACTCACTGAATGGCAGCACTCTCCCCTTGATGAGTAAAATGGTCTGGCATTAAACAGAGTAAAATAATAAAGTAAGGTGCATTGTGGCACATTGCCATACGATAATTAACCCATTAAGTTGCATGGTGCTCTAATGCACTCTATTGTGTTCTTTCACTCTGTCTAATGCCAGACAATTTTACTTGTCGAGGGGAGAGAGCTAGTGCTCAAAGAGTTTATATAATCAGACAATCCGCCGATGCGTCTGGCTAACCCATTAAGTTTCATTGTACCCAAATTACTTTGCTATTTTACTCTGTCTAATGCCAGACGTCTCATCAAGGGTAGAGTGCTTGTGCTCAATGGGTTGAAGAATCAAGTACAGTAATAAGAAATATACCTGCATATGGACAAAAATCACTGTCTTTCTTAAACTGTAAGTTGTACCAATCATTTTTAATACCAATAGTCAAGATAGACTTAGTAAACTGGGCTCAAATCTTTGGTGAAACCATTTCATAATCAGCTGGACAGTAAAATTCAAATAATTTAGTATGTCACAACAAGCAACCCCTCTGCCCAGAGCATAGTTGCCAAGTCCCACACATTGAACATGAGATTCGCACATTTGAATGCTGCCTAATTATGCCTGTCTCACGCGATGGAAAAAACCCACACGACTGTTTTATTGATTATTGTTAATAATAATTCAGTCAATCAGGAGCAACTCTATGAAATATAAATGCGGTATTTGAGCAAGGATCCAGTTGTCATATACCTGAGCACCACGTTGGAATTATGCCACACAGAACCTCAAGAAAGTCTCACACCTACAGTAATTTGTTTAAACCACTGAGAGCCAACGCTCTCCCCTTGACGAGTAAATCATCAAATGAACAATTTTACCATAGCCTTCACTCCAGTCGCTTCTCCTTCATTTCATTTACTGCCTACCCTGCAATTTCTATTTATGTGCAGAGACGAGTTTTTACTATATTTGTCCATTTAACTCTATATAAAAATACCGTACCTCCAGGTCTATTAACCGTGACCGCACTAAGAATACACTAAAATGCAGGACGGACAGGACAGGCAGCAACTTAAAGCAGGCTAACATTACGTTGCAGCGAGACGTACACGTAGCACCACAAACAACGGTAGGAAATTGGTTGTGAAGAAGGGTAGAACTACCACTTACCAAAACAGCTACTTTATAAGGGTAACAAAACTATGGAACATTTTACCAAACGATCTAACGTTAGAAAACCAAACTCTTAGTTACTTTAAAAAGAGTTTGTATTCTTATTGCAACAAAGCCTTAAAGGATATCTATGACATTGACGACAACAGGACATGGAAATCTGTTTGTATCAAATGCAAAAATGTACGCCTTTTAAATGAAGTGCCTCATTGTTGCTTTTAGTTGACTTTTATAGCGTTTATCTATCGTATTTTTTACTCCCTAATTTGTAATATAGCACATTTCATAGTCTATTATATAGCGTAATCAATTTTGCATGCATTCTTAACATGTAAATCTAGATAGTTTTGGAGGCACAGTAATTGGGGTAACCTGTTGTGTCCACCATTTTACCTGTATCTTGTGGTAAATAAAATGATTTAAAGAATAAAGGAATACCTCGACGGACAGACTTTGTCTCGCAACGCGCCATATCCGCTGCATATTGCATTAGGTTAGATTTCAGCATTTGCATATAAAAAAGAAAGTGAATTTCGCTATAGTTCCCAAAATAGAGTGCTTTTACTATAAAGTAAACAAAGACAAGCTTCACTTGTTACATACATTTAAAGCTGTATTACCAAACTGAAATCAATTATAGTGTATTTACAAAGTCACAAAATGAGCAGCGAAGATTTATTGGCGAAATTCGACGAATTGGTGAAGCGATTCAAAGAGGAATTCAACGAAATTATCCAAGGCGAGCGAGCAAAAATGAAGGCGGAAGTGGAACAGTACAACGCAGAGAAGCAACGAATGAAACCTTTCGAAGTTAGCGACGATGATATAATACATCTCAACGTCGGAGGAAAAAAAATCACCAGCACAAGATCTACTTTGTGTCAAGTAGAAGGTTCCTTACTTGCCACCATGTTCAGTGGAAGGTGGGAAGATGGTCTCAAGCGTGATGAAGATGACGCCGTCTTCTTTGACGTCAACCCACAATATTTTGGTTATATTCTGGATTATCTTCGCACGAAGAAAATTGCGTCGCGAGAAAACCCTGCAGAATTGCCAAAAGTTCCAAGAGATCAAGTGAAACATTTCAACACATTTGTCGAATATCTTGGCTTGAGTGATGAAATCGCAGTGCCTGTCGAAATCGTCCCCATTGAGATTGTGCCAAGCGAGAAATTTAATTTACATGCGCCTGAAATCACTCTTCAGGAAGCGGAGAAAGTCGCAGTTCACGCTCCAAATAGAGAGTATCGACATGTTCTTGGTGAAAATATTTACCAACAAGGGAGAGTACGTCTCAAATTGAAGTTGGAATCATTTCAAAGTAATCATTGGATGTTTGTTGGCATCGTGAAAGGAGATGGTCTACAAGAAATTAACGACAATTCACATGATTGGCCTGGTTCGTATGGATGGGCACTCGGGACAACTGGTCAAGTATGGAAAGAAAGGGCGCTTACATATGACAATACTTTAAGAAATCTCACCAAGGCAGGTGACACAGTTGAGTTAGTCTTGGATTGCGATGCAGCCAAGCTGTCACTTCATTTGCCAACTGGTCAGGAATTTCACATTGATTTACCAAAGTCCCAAACCTGGAAACTGAATGTAAATTTGCATGGCGCAAATGACAAAATACACATTATTGAACGATGAAATTAAAGAACTTAATTGGCCTATCATTCAAAACGTAACTTCTTAGAATAAGAATTGCTGGTTAACAATATGATTATAAATGTAGCCAAATAAACGAATTCATGTAAATATGCATACCAAAGTTATATAGCACCGGTAGTAAAAACCAAAGTTAGTGTACATTGTGTTTGTTTTATTAGGTAAACTCACTGAAGGGAAGCACTTTCCCCTTGACGAGTAAAATGGTCTGGCATTAGACAGAATAAAATAATAAAGTATATAAGGTGCATTGTGGCACATTGCCATATATACGTGAAAGGGCACTTTTGAATTGATATATACTAAGAGATGTTTACAAAACATTGGGAATTGAAGTTCGCCTAATAATGTTTTCTATTTATTGGATGATAGGGGTGTATTTATTGGATGACAGGCGATTGTGCTATTCTTGAAGCTCGATGACTGCATTTCTTACGTTTTCTGAAGCAAATTCGTAAAAGAATTGCACTAACATTTCTGACAATTCGCTATTTCGCCAAGGCAATCCTTTAAATTGAAAGGGCACCTTTGCCCCCCTTGCCCCTCCTGGTAAAGTGCAACGGAGGCGGCTGCCCCTCCTGCCCAGTTCCGGCGTCCCTGTGTGCAGAGACGATTTTTTACTATATTTTACTATCTCAACGTCGGGGGACAAAAGTTGACCACCACAAGATCTACTTTGTGTCAAGTAGAAGGTTCCTTACTTGCCACCATGTTCAGTGAAAGGTGGGAAGATGGCCTCAAGCGTGATGAAGATGACGCCTTCTTCTTTGACATCAACCCACAATATTTTGGATTATCTTCGCACGAAGAAAATTGCGTCGCCAGAGAACCCTGCAGAATTGCCAAAGGTTCCAAGAGACGAAGTGAAAAATTTGAACACTCTTGTCGGGTATCTCGGCCTGAGTGATGAAATCATAGTGCCTGTCGAAGAGACTATTGAAATCGTCCCCACTGAGATTGTGCGGAGCGAGAAATTTAAGTTACACAGCCCTAGAATTACTCTTCAGAAAGACCGGAAAGTCGCAGTTCGTGGTCCATATCCAGAACTTGTACTTTGCCAGACATATCCATGGCATCAATATGTTCTTGGTGAAAATAGTTACCAACAAGGGATTGTACGTCTGAAATTGAAGTTGGAATCATTTCAAAGTAATCATTGGATGTTTGTTGGCATCGTGAAAGGGGATGGTCCACAACAAATTGAACAAAATAACTACAGTTCATATGAATGGCCTGGTTCGTATGGATGGGCACTCGGGATGACTGGTCAAGTATGGAAAGGGGCAAATACAATTGAGAATACTTTAAAAAATCTCACCAAGGCAGGTGACACAGTTGAGTTAGTCTTGGATTGTGATGGAGCCAAGCTGTCACTTCATTTGCCCACTGGTCAGCAATTTCACATTGATATACCAAAGTCCCAAGCCTGGAGACTGAATGTAAATATGTTTCGCCAAAATGACAAAATACACATTATTGAATAATGAAATTATAAAGAACTTTTAAAATTGGCCTTTCTCTTTAGAATAAGAATTGCTCGTTGACAATGTAGCCAAATTAAATATTACATGTAAATAGCACAGCTGTAAAGTATGCATATCAAAGTTATTATAGCATCGGTATAGTAAAACCAAAGTACATGCTGCCTTATGTCTGCCTCGCGCGAAGGAAAAAATCCACATGACTCTTTTATTGATTATTGTTAATAATAATTCATTACAAAAAAAACAACACAAAAATAATCAATCAATCAGGAACAACTTTATGAAATATAAATGCGATATTTGAGCAAGGATCCAGTTGTCATATACCTGAGCACTACGTTGGAAATATGCTACACTGACAGAACCTCAAGAAAGTCTCACATCTACAGTTAACAAGGTTCCAAATGAGGCCAGTTGTGCCTGGGAACCCAATCTCATAAATTTTCCAATTTTAGGCAAAAAAATGGTAAAAATTGAAAAACTAGGCAACCAGAAAGCGTAAACTAGGACGCTCTGATATAGGTCACAAAATCGGTTGTCAGTTTGTGTTGTGTACGTGTATTCTACATTATCGTGCTTAATTTCGAAATATTCTGCTATTTTAATACCCTATGTAAAGCTGTTTCCGTATTATATTAATAATCTCTGTTTTAGGAATGTTTTTATTCTGTCAACATGTCTAGATTTAGATTAAAACAACGTCATTACGCGCGATTGGTATTTTGGAGTCTGGGAACGTCCTAGTTTTTGACGACAACAGCCTAGTTTTTTTCCAAATAAGGTAATTCTAGGACGTTCTCAGACCCCTGCGCACAAAAAACTAGGACGTTCCCAGTCTTCTTCACCTTCTCACGTCCAGAAAACTAGGCAGTTTGCATTTATATAATTACAATGCGTGATATCAAATAACATTTGCGCAAATCTGTCGCAATAACATTGGTGTAATCAGAAAAAAAGCAAGAAATACATTATATTCTTTGTATTCAGTACAGCTACCAATAGTACAATGTACTGAATATTAGTTATTACGCTTATCACTCACTTATTGAGGCAATGATTATTTACGCAAATAACGCAATGACGAATTGTGATTCATGTTTGGCATACATTACATTGTAATTTTTAAGAGATACGTAGTCATCAACTAAATTGGATTCTTCGGTGTTGTTTTTAAAGCTGTTGTTTCTAATAATGTGGGCATAGGCATGGTCTTGTTTTTTTTAGTTTGAGTACTAAAACTAGAGTTTTTATTATATAAACCAACGTCTATATATAGACTCTATACATGAATTGTAAAAGTATATCACACTCATCTCTAAGCTGCACTTGACCTTTAAAACGGTAACTTTATAACGTCACAATATTTATGGTCACCACTTTTCCCCTGATGCTTTGCTAACATGCAAATTGTCTAGTATTGATCTTCAAAAGAACTTAGAACGGCAATTTTATAAAGACATTACCAATACAAGAAATGTTAAAATTGCGTGTATTGTAATTGTATTGCAATTGTCACTAATTATTATGTTTTTATAGTGCAGTCATGCCAATTTCCATCAGTACTGGTATCAAAACCTGTAAAATGGACTATACTTTACAGCCATATATTACTAAATACATATCAAAACATGTATCATTAATTCATTTGCGCTAACCTTATAAGCCTCTCGCAAAAAAAGTTTTAGGGGGGGGGGGTACTTGAAAACTTGAAAATTGGGCTATTAATTTTTTTAATACTGAACCCCAGGCACAAGCAAAATGCCAATTGGAACTCTGTACAGTAACTTGTTTAAACCATCATTAAACCACCAACTTGTTTAAACCACCAACATTCATGGGTGGATTTACTGGGGGGGTTAGGGGGGTTAACCCCCCCCCCCTACACCCCCTAGAATCTCTCTAACCCCTCTAATAAAGTGTTCAACCCCACCAAAATTTCACTTCACCCCTCCTATTTTGTGTGAAAGGCTTTAACCCAAATGCCTAACCCCTGCCGAAGCTCACTGAGTAGTGCCACTTGCACCCCACCAGAAATATTTCTACCCCTCCTTTTAAATAAATGAAAATCCGCCCTTGCCAACACTCTCCCCTTGACAAGTAAAATCATAAAATGGCCTATAGTTGCATTTTCCGTAGCTGCTCATGTTATGTTTGAATAAATGCATGAAATTTCCATCTACAAGAACCCTTCAATATCCGGTCTATATGATCCACTTCAGCAAACATGAGAGAAAAGTTGTTTATAAGCTTGTAGCAAGCAGTAAAATTCACTGTTTCCACAACCATTGATTACCAGCTGGAGTCTGTGTACATTTGTTAAGAAATTATCAGTTACATGATGTGCAAAAATCCTATAACCAATCTGGTGTTGCTGACATTCCACTGTGGAATTTCCACACTATATTATATATGCAATTGTTATATTATCAACGCAGCGTAGGCTTGAGTAATTAAATAACTATAAATGTTTGTTTAAGGCTTCGTGTTGTAAACACGTTTTTGTGGAAATGTTGTGTTTAGAATATGATCTTTAATTAGTACTCCATAAAAGTTTAAATCACCTTAAAATGCAGGAAATGCCTTTTCAGAGACAACAGATTTCAAGATTTTCCGGAAATATGTCCCGGACCTCCCTACAAGTTTGCAGATGAGACATGATATTTATATCTGTTGAAAGCTTGTTTTACCTGTCCAGCTCACAAGTGCATATTCAACCCTGACCACCAGGAGGGGGACATTGGGATTTACGGTATGGCGGTATTAGCTTAGTTTTCTTACGGTATTTTCCTTGAAAAATTGCGGTATTATGATATTGGAAATCTTGCAGTACACGGTATTTGCAATTTTGGACTCAAAACTGCGGTAATTGACAAAATTTGCTTGCAGTATTACGGTATTGAATGCCCTCCAATGCCCCCCTCCACCAGCATAAAACTGAACATCTTTTTGGCCTCAAAATTACTTTGTCTTAGCTTTATTCTCTAGTTTATACAGTTAGCTACCTTTTTAAATGCATTTGCCAGTTGAGAAATATACAATAATAGGAAAAATTTCTCAATTAATTAAATACAATTATCAATGATGCTTTATTAAAGGCACAGTTCAGCCTGTTGAACGATGGTTTTTAAGGCGCATTTCAGCTCTTTTAATTGAAAAAACTAACTAGGAAAATCAATTAAGCATAATTCAAGATCACCAAACTCAATGTTTTTAACATTTTAAAACATTTTTATTGTTAAAACATCGAGTTTACTGATTTTGAATTATACTTAATTGATTTTCCTAGTTAGTTTTTTCAATTAAAAGGGCTGAAATGCGCCTTAAAAACCATCGTTCAAAAGGCTGAACTGTGCCTTTAAAAGTGACGCCATATTTACAGCAATATAAGCAAAATTAACTGAATATGTTGCACACTACAAAGGCTACAAAACAGCACTCATAGAAGTTAGGGAAAAGTAAAACTCAAGGAATTTTTATGGACTTTCAAGGCCATGTATCAGAAAAGAGAAAATTCAAGACTATTTGGGTTGAGAAGAAGGCATTAGAACTGAGTATAAAGTGAAGTTGAATTGCTCAAATTGCAACAAATGAACAAAATCAATTCAACAAAATGTCCCCCTTTTACTATAATGAACAAAGTGTACGTCTATTCAGCTGGCTATTTAGTAAACTGTTGGCTATATATAGTGACTATAGTTAAATATAAAAACTTTGCGCTAGCTTTTACCAAGCTTGCCATCAGCATATACGGTAAAGGTGCTGCGTGCAGAAGTGAAATGCCAGGTAGGGTTGTGTTTCATCTGACTTAGACCCTGTTTACATGGTTACCGGATGAATTTGGAACCGGGCTGAAATTCATCCATGACTACACATGATAACCACAGAACCGGACAAATTTGAGACCCTCTAATAGGACAAATTTGAGACCCTCTAATAGGACAAATTTGAGACCCTCTAATAGGACAAATTTGAGACCCTCTAATAGGACGAATTCGCATATAAACAGGTGAAAAAGGACGAATTTCAGACCAGTCCCAAATGTGTCCGGTACCATGGGCGCTTCCATTAACACGGCCAGACCGGTCAAATTGTTGAATGAAACACATAAGATTTGGGCTTCGAACCTATCAGACTGAAAATTTTAGATAACATTAGAATGAGGTCCATTTTCGCTAGATATTTGAGAAATATAGACCAGATCTTTCCATTGATACAGAGAAAAGATTTCAGGTCTGACCGGTCAGGCCATTAAGGGGCTGTTTACATGAGCCCGGTTTGCAGGGCTGGCTCGCTTAAACGGGGCGCCCGGCTTCATGGTAATTTCCACCACAAAGCAATTTTACTTTACATGACAAACCGGGCAAGCCCGTTTAGCTGGGATCCCACTTGACTCAAACAGGGCGCCCGGTCAGCCGGGATGAAATTTCTCCATGTAAAGTATCCAGCCCGGGCAACCGGGCTAGAACAAAAACTTCATTTAAAACAAAAATAAAAGACAGAATTTACAGAAACTGATATTTTTCTTGACAAACTTTTATTTCTTCAATTAATCTTGCTGACAAAGTAGTTTTAATCGATTAAATTTGCCAATAAAGCACAAATTCGACTGTTAACTCGTAAACAAGTTTTTCCCGCCAATTTTCGTCAGCATGCATATCAGCCCGGCAAACGTCTCATCCCGGCTAGCCGGGCTCATGTAAACAGCCCCTAAATGGAAAGCACCCCATGTAAACAGGGTCTTAGCTTTTTTTAGAACTTTTTTCCCACCTTTTCTAACTCTCAAAAGGTTAGGTAAGGGTTTGGTTTATCTTATAAAAATTGAACTTTAACTATAGTCACTATATAGCCGGCAGTTTACTAAATAGCCAGCTGTGTAGACACGTCGTTTAATGATGCGCTTTTTAATCATTTCAAAAAATAACACTTCTATATAAATTTACGGACTTTCAAGCCCTTGAATTTTTGTTTTCAAACTCAAGGGCTTTCAAGTTTTGTACAAAACCCGACAGAAGTTCTCGTAAAAAACAAAAATTTGCCTTTTGTGGCCGACAATAAACACAGCACACAACATGAAAAACTTACCAGTGAGTTACCACCAATTTTCGACATTTTTCTTGTAGTAGAAAGCCTCTTAATCTCTAAAACATTACTCCATTAAACATATATTCTTCTTGACATCATAAGTATTTTAAAATATAGCTCAAAAGCGATGAAAATTCACAAAAATAAACAAGGTTTCATTCAAAATACACGACAGAATTTAATACAAATTTTCAAATTTCACGCAGTTTCACGTGTGCCCGCAGTCGTTGTTGGTCAACTACGTACGTCACGTAAACGATCATATTGGACAAGTAGGATGAGGTTAGCAGACGAGGCCATTTGCACGAGGCCGTAAAATAGTTGCTTTTGCGTTCATCCAGATCGTTTGTATTGTATAATTTACAACGGTTTATCGTGTATCATATATTCCATAAACTCCTTCTGGAATTGATATACTAATGGATATTAGGCATGGCACAATTTAATATTTGGGTGATTTAATATCGGTCGTCAAAGATTCTTGAAGTTTACATGTTCTCTTTTAGAGACTGATTTCCATATTCTTGAACTTTCAGGACAATTAGCAAGATTATTTCCTTCGGTTTTGGACGTTTATATAACATTCTCAATGCGTATTCTGTACTTAAATAGTTCGGGGATATGGGGACATTCTCCCCCGGGAAAATTTTGTCACTTGCTGTCAAAGCGTCCGTGTCAAAACTGTCACTTACATCCGAGTCTTAATTTTTGTGGGCAGCAATGCCAATGTTCATTAATATTTTGCTGTATGGGTACTTGATCACTTCTAGCCAATATAGTTACATTGATTGGAACACTATTATTCGTTGCATGACGCTAAAGACTAAAATGCATTGTAAAACTACACGACAGTTTGTTAATTATTTAGGAAGGCTTTATCTTTCACTTTTTTCAGAAAGGTGGAAGCCTTGGCAATGTTTTTGAGAGGACTATATGGGATTCAAGTTTATAGAGCTAAATTGCTGGAAACCAGCACTCAATTTCAATTACGAATATTATAAAAAAAATGGTAACAGCAGTTGCACATAAGAAAATTGAATAAAAATAATTTACTAGCGACGATAAGAAGACAGCTGTGGGATTGAGAAAGATACAGCCCCGACGTTTCGAGCGAAGGCCCTTTTCTGTCAGAAGTTAGTAGCTTTTCTGCTGCTAAAATACATGTAATAACATGAAAAAAATTGATCAATATGAAGATATATTGCATAAGTTGAAGAGTTATTGGCACTTTGATGAAACATGGACTCATTTCAATGCATAATACAACAAAAACTCCTGTGTTTTAATGTTTCTTTCAATGTCAATGCATTCCCTGGACGAATGCACAATATGAATTAATTTTTATTTCTACTTTCCTTTGAATGTACAAAAATTATTTGATGTCATTTGTTAACCAACAAAAATGTGAAATGCGCGCTTCGCAGCAACGTTTTGTCATACGAGTTATTGTGTTAGGCTTTTAGTTTGTCCACAAGTACTACAGTCTACATACAGTTTCTTTGCTTTTATGTCACAACTTAAGATATGACTTCACAACCGCCTTCCTTATAGCCGATGTTCGGACAAATCTAGAATCTTACGCAAAAATTTGGCCCCTTCGTACGTTTGACTGTGCTGGAATTCGCTCGGTTCCTTAACTAAGTCTGGTTTACACTATCAAAGTTTCTGTGATCACAGTAGGAATTTTGCATAGGTAAATTCTATTATAGTTTTGGAGGATTTCTAAGAAATGTTTTTGAGGGAACTGACGTAGTGTTGAACATCGATTCAGTTCACTCAAACGTTTCTTACAAATCCTTCAAAACTTAGAATTTACCCATGCAAAATTCCTACTGTGATCACAGAAACTTCGATAATGTAAACCATACTTTAAAGCTACGCTTACACTATAAGAGATAGCTTTTCCTTCTGACTTTCAGAAGGTGAGTGAAACACCACCTCTCCGTTGCCATAATTCCTCTGAAAATAGTGTTCCTAAAAGGTACGGATGGGCGTTTTTTCACGTTGAATGAGCGGAACGGATAGGTGTAATTTCATTTGAATAAGCAAATGTTACTCGACAAACAATAAGTTTTATCTCGTCTTAAAACGCGTACCTTGGATGAAAACTCGAAATTACTAAACTACAGCCTCCACATAACATGTGTAAAACTCTCACAACTTGTCAACAAGATGTATTTGCACTGCTTGTCCCCAGTGGTTGATAAGTCTGAAACAAGTTTTTATCATCTTGCAACAAGGTTGACAGGCTTGCAACAAGGCGATGACAACAAGCTCGTAGCGATTTGTTACTAACAATCTTGTAATAGTTTTGTTGGAATAACTTGTGTGGCAAGTCTGTTACCGTCGTCAACCTTGTAACAACTGCTGGGAACAAGCAGTGCGAACACATCCTGATATCGGCTCGACAACAACCTTGTTACAATTTGTTTGCAGATCTCTAACAACTTGCGTGATTTACGTGTGTAGTCTTAGCGGTTGCGAAGTCAAATTTTCATTACATTACCATCACCTTGGCAGATTGTAGAGCACGTTACTCAAATGAGACTGTACTTCCGCGTCCAAAGCACGGGACATGCTTAGATCCAGAATGCGTTCTTGAAACGGGATTAAATGCGTGCTGCGTGTTCGTTTCGCAATGCACGCTAACAAGCTCCCCGCACGACGCAGCATACCCATACTGACTCGAAGATCGTTATCACGAAACATTCCGGGGTGTAAACCACGCACGGCCATCGACTCGACTCTGTCTCGAGCATCCTCGAGAAACCCGACTAACACTGTCACAAGATTCCGCTCCGAGTTCTTACTACAAATCTCCTGATTCGCTTGCGTGAAACTCGACAGCAAGACCAATGCAAACTCGCGAGTGACTTCGTTGGTTTTGTCTGAAAATAGTTTCACCAAGTACTCGTACGCCTTTGTAAGCCTGGTCTTATCGGGAGAGCTCAAGATGAATTCAACATTCGTCTCCAATACGCTCATCTTCGCCATTGTTTCGAGGACCAGTTGTTTAGGAGTGAGAATAACCGATACACTAGTGCTTCTGAGCGGCTCATCGGCTACCGCAGATTGGCAAACAAGCCAATGTAATAGTCCGTCTAGTAATAATCGACTCACATTTCCAGCCAGAGGCGATAAATCTAAATATCCAGCAATGTTTGCGATTGTTACTAAAGTATTTTCGCGAACAGTGTCGAGGCAATCTTGCCACCAACAGTCGCTGTCATTGTATTGACTATCAGAGGCGAGCCCTTTCTTTCTCTTCAAATGATGTAATAGTAGCAATTTAGCAAGTATAAGCAGCAAAGATGGATTTCTCGCCATTTCTACATCGTTGCCAGGAACAAATGATAAGTTTCTGATAATATTTGACACACAGTTACACGTATTTATGGCGGAATCTTGGGACAACGTCACGCTACTTAGTGGAAATTCTTGTTTCAGTTCACATTCGATATCCGTAGAAGTATTAGCGTCCATGTCGCATCTCTTTACACTCGAAGTAATTTCCTCAGCGTCGTTGCTAACCGAGTCCACATCGAGGTCAAGTTCTGTTTTTAATCGTTTGATTAATATGGCCGAATGATTTTCCTTATAAGAACTTCCAGATTCAACTTTGGTCAGCGAGCTTCCTGGCTCTAGTTTGTCGACAGAACTCTCATGGTCATCCGAGCCATTTTCCTCTCCGTTACAACAATTCTGTTGCATCCTCCGGGCCAGAATTTCAGTCATTTCTTTTTTCACTAATACTCCCGAGTCTGTGGTAATCACAGACTTTCTCGTTATCTTCGTATCGGGCGATGGTATCCCATTAAAAAGGCTGGTTACTTCAGCTTGGACACTTTTATGGTCCTTCAGCTCGTTGAAATCATTGGTTATCGAGACCTTCTCTTGATTGGTGATCGTATTATCAGAACTCTTAGAGATCTGAGAATCCTCGTCTCTGTTCTCTGCCTCAGACAAGCTATCCATGGGCTTGTCTTCACCTGTGTTTTCAACCAAATCTTCTAAATCATTCTTCCTATCTTCATAAAATCGTGGATCAGTTTCAAAATGAGTTTGAATATGAATCGTAGTATCCCCTCCGCCAGAACTCCAGTCTTTGCCACCGCCACAAAACCCTGGTTCTTCGTTGTCAGTCAGGCAACTGGTAACAATTATCGAAGAAAAATTCTCCGTCGCGATTTGGTCCGGCAGAACATCACAAAACTGCTTCTCTTCCGTGTCCGTAGTCTTTCCATAAGCGAAACGATCTGGCATTCCAGTATCGATCTCACTCTCGCGTAGAACACCAAAAACATTGATCAAGTTTCGCCGAAAGTGTTCCACTACTGTGTCGAGAAATCCAGGCAAATGTCCCAGTTTGAAAAAGCCCACAGTGGCATCGTCACTCAGTAAGATAGTCAACGTGTCCAGAGCCCATGACGTCTCGGTTAAAAGACCTGATTTTAATGACATCATAATTCGCCACGCCTCAACAGGACCTAGGGAAGAGAAACATTAGTTCCAGTCTCTTAATTAAGAGGCAAATTTGTATCGCGTATTTGCGATTCACACAACACCAGAGCGAAATTATGCCGGCAGAATTTATGTTACAGTTCGTTTACAAATTAAGTTAGCACTCATGTAAATCAAAATATTTCAAATAGAGCAAAGAAATTCAAACGAAAAGCGTTCGAATTTACTGTCTTGAGTCCTCAGATGCTTGGTTTGAAAGCGGTACAAAAAAGTAACGGCGTTTGTGTTCACACGAAGCGGCCCAGCGCTCCGTTTTAGAAACCGTGCTCAAATTGTTACGGCAAAATGACGTAATTGCAACCGTAGTGTGAACGTAAGCCACACTAGCAATTTTGTCGGCGATTTTCTGTTTCTGACTGATGCAAATGAGTGAACTCGCACACAAAACTATAAAGTCGTTTTTCAAAAGTAAACAATTCTAAGTCTTTTGCATGTCATTCGTTCGATCACATTTGTCAGGAGGAGAAAAATCGCCGACAGAATTGCTAGTGTGAATCAGGCTTTAGTCTCAGTACTGTGTCTTGGTTCATACCTATATCTCTTGCGGTCAAGCGTCGTTTCTTCGTATGTACAGCTTGCGTTGTTTCAACACAGCCCGGAGGAAACAATTCATCTTCCTTCTTCGCAGGAGCCATCTTCACAGCCTTCATGGCTTGATATTGTAGGGCGGCTGCGGCACTCTGTGGCGTTGGGGAAGGCTTCTCCTGCTTCGGATGGGGGTAGGGAGGAGGGGGCCGAGTTGGTTTGAGACCAGGGGATTGAGAATTGTGAAAGGGTGAGGGGCTTCCTGAACTTGTCCCAGGACCATCTTGGTACCTTTGTACCCAGGGGGATTGCATACGAGGTCTGGGGGAGCCCATCTAAAAACGATTTAATAAATAAAACAAGGGCTTATTACGGCTTAACATCATTTAATCAAAATTAGTGTTTAAAATTAGTTCAAAACATGACCTTCATACTAAGATTTGCTTTTATCAAGCGATGTTAATAATGGTATAATTGAACTGAGTGGAATGCAATTTGGTCTGAAATCTGAAAAAAAATTTCTACCATTTTTTGCTTAAAAAACACAGTTCACTGATGCATACATACCCCTCCGCGTTGAGCTGCTCGCTGTCTCTCCATCTGGTAAGCGGCCATGTTTGATGCTTGTTGTTGATACATGTATCCGGGAGGGTGCTGACCTTGTTGTTGATAGTTCGGGAACATACCTTGGGACTGTGGGTCGTGTTGAAACGGTTTATTCATACCGGGACCGCGGGGAAACTGCCCGTACATGGCCTCCGGTGGGACGGTGTTGCGGGGATAGTTAGGATACCGGGAGGGCACCATGCCATTGTGATAGCTAGACATTTGGGAGGGGGGCCCTTGGAAGTTTGCGTATTGGTGATTCGAGTAACCAGGGTGACCTGCAGGATAAGAAGGTACCCGCGGAGATCCTTGTGGATAACCAGGGTACCCGGATGGTGTTTGAGGGTAACCGGGGGTATTCCGGTAACCAGGATGCTGCATGGGTGGCGTACTGGGGTACCCTTGCGTAGCGGGTGGGGTACTTGGGTACGATGGTGGTTGCATAGTGGGTGCACCCCCCTGGCTGTACGGAGTGGTGGGAGTGTTTGAGTTACCTTGAAACAAATTTTTGTAGGTCATCGTCGAGAGGTCGATATTTCCAGGTTCGTGGTTAGCAGGGGTGTGTGAATTGGGGGTCGAGATAGGCGGGCCACTTGTTGCGAGTTGGGGTGGGTTTCCACTTAACTTTTCTTCGTAAGGTAACAGGAAACGAACATAATGTTCTCGCAAAATCTGTGCATCCTCATTGTTCGGTGTAGTTGCGGCATTTGTTAAGCCTTGAGCAACTTCTTTCCATAGTTTCAGCCTTGTGACCTAGAGAGTTGTTAATTATGACACTTTAATTCTGGATAGGTTTACATGAAAACCAGTCTGAACAGGCGCATAATGACGGAACGATTTCGTACACATACCGTAGGAGGCCCAATAGTTGTAGTGAGCACAAAAAAAATTAGAATAATTTAAAATAATATAGTATTGAACGGCATAGTTGGAAAATACAAACAAAACATCACTGTAATAGACCTAAACATATACTATTAAAGTCGTATAAGGAATAATCCATCCCACTTATGAGTTTTCCGGCAAAACGGACTCTATGTATGTATTCCATAACAATATATATCACAGCATCCTCAGTGGAGAATTAGGTTTATATAGAAATTTTCATTTTAAAATTTCAAACAAGATTATTTCATCATTGGATGCATGTGATATGTTTTGTGCCGTAAGCCAGGCCTTAAAATATCGGTCGCTCGCGGGCATCGTCCGACCCATTCGTGAAATTGTCCGACTTAATCACCGGACATTCTGTCCAACCCTAAGTAAAACTGGGGTTTATTATTTGTCCGACCCGAGTGTATTGGTATCCGACCAAACTGTAGCCTTGTCGGATGTAAATCAAAATGTACCCTAGTCCAGGACTAGAGGCTCGTATGTTAAATGGAGAATCAGAGTAATGTATAAAAAGTGAACCGGAAATATTGTTTTAATATAATCGAGCGCGGGACATAAAATTTTTAAATATGTTCACAACATTTACCGTTCAGATTTAATACATTGTGCTGATATTAATTTGTGTCATTCAGACTTATTTCCGAGCCAAACTGAACTGAAGGTCATCGGAAATCATCATACGTACATATGTCCGACCCAAACTCATCGGAGATTCTATTTTCAGGCCTGGTAACCTACACAACTGTGCTTCAAAAACATACCTCTTGCATTCCGCCTCGTTTTGATACGAGTTGAAAAAACTTGAATACGTCTAAAGCCGAGCCATTGAAGTTGGGAACTTCAATTAACGGTTTTCCTACAAACAAAAGAAATAGACACACATTGTAATAGCTGACTGGAAAACAAACTAAGACCAAAATTTTGGTTGGAAAAGTATTTACCCTGCAGTTGTTCCGTTAACGAGACTAACTTATCCAGGAAATCTCTCCGTTCTGGCTCTTCAGAAAGTTTATAAAGTTTACTCATCTGAAAAATATTCAAATGGATACAAATCAGTTCAAAATAACCGCATGGCACATAAACTAAACAAATTTTATTTATACTGGATAGTATTAATGCACCGATATGGGAATTTACTGAAATTCCGATACCGATAATATATTCGACCTCGTTCCCAGGGTCTCTCCTTTTATTCTACTTCAAAATTCACAAATGACAATTGGAGTTACTGTTAAAAACACATCATAACTACGAGTTAATACAAACTAACATCTTTGAATATGGGTATCTGTGGAATTTATATCGATACAATCGATATAAATCGAGTTGTGTTACAATTAAATTTATTTACTTTATTTTAGAAGATTTGCCAAATAACAAACATAAATACCACATAAATATCTCGCATAAATTGGTCATAATACAATACCGATATTTTTAATTTAGGGCCGATATCGGTGCCTCACCAATACTGGATAGTTTTATCAGTTCTAAACTGCTCTCCATAATGGTCCAGTAAGGTCCTTTCTTTGTTGTCCCAGTACTACTACAGGAGGAAACTTAAAGATGATATCCACTCCGTTCTGCGCATCAGTTCTGCTCATAACAAAGGGGGACCCCCAGATATAAACATTGCCCAAATTTTGCATCTTTCGAACTTTTTTGAATTGAAACGTCCAGTTTATATTCATTTACAAGTATAGCGAACCAGAAAAGTGTTAGATATTCAGTTAGTATATCATATTTTACAAATATAGCAGTTCAAAACGTAAACAAAGTTCGCGCATGGGCACAGGAGTGGACATCATCTTTAAACTAAAGTAATTTTATTTATACTGGATAGAACTATCAGGCCTTAACTGACCATAGTGGAATCGCCGTATGTTACGCCAAATATATTGGCGTATCTGTGGACTTGAAAATTAATTTGGCGTGGCGTAAACAAGTAAATATTACGTGCTCCGTTTGGCGTGGCGTAGATTTTCTAGGATAGCAAAGCGTGGCGTATTGTACAACGTACAAATTGACAGATTGACTGTCTTCGAATCCTTCGATCGAATTTTTAAAATATTTTTAAAATAATAAGATCGCTTTGCCTTCGGTGAACCCGGAAGGAAATATAATTTTTACACCAAGTAATCGGGAACCACGGGGTCAACTGACCGCAAATTTAGCAGGCCTATAAAGTTATAAACAACAAATACGCGCCAAAATGTGCAGCCCTAAATTTGAGAAAATGGTCAATGGAGTCCATGGATTCAAACGAAGGTAGGATGGTGTCTGTTTATTTGATTAATCCATAGTAATCCTGCTACCCAAGTACAATATTTAATACAAGACGAATTCAAAATTATACTAAATATGTATATTAATATATAAAATTCTGGTATTTTGATATTGAATCGATAATTTGATGATTATACAATGTGAAACTGTATTTACATGTAGCCATGCATTAAACATGCGTTGATGCAAATTTAAAAATCAATTATTCATTTGCGTTAAAAATGGTACATTTGTTATTTGTACACTTTGTGACATCAATACATTTAATATAGCTACGTAGTTGTATTTTTAAATAAAATATACTTTTAAAAATGGCGTGTCAATTTGTCAGATTTTTTTTGAAAAAAATATATTGGCGTGTCAAATTCTCTTGAAAAAATATATTGGCGTATCAGAAAACGGCGATTCCACTATGGTTAACTGACTTACCTAGGGGTCCAATATAAGGGGAATTCCCTGTAAGACAAGTCTTAGAACAGGAGGAAACGTGGATTAAACCTACTTTATCTATTATACTGGATAGCTCTTTATCAGTTCCGGCTAAACTGTTCTTCCTATAGAGGTCAGGGAAAGGCCATTCTTTACTGATCAGTGTTACAATGTTACAATGTTACAAAAGACGAAAACCAGCCCACGTGAGAAAACCTAGCCAGTGAGCTAAGGAGAGACCGTCATCCCCTGAAAACATTCAAAATGGGCGGAGTGGCTTAGGCGTTCAGGGTGGGGGGACGAGTGCACACTGGCCAGGAACTTGGCGACAGCACTGCGAATGCTTTGCACTTGCTTTGCGATTGCGAATAAATAAACTAAACAATCGAAGATAACTTTCATAAAAACAAAACTAAAATTGAATATTAGAAAAAAAATTTGTAGGTCAAAATTGAAATTTGTAGGTCAAAAACTAGCATGACGTACAATTTTTGAAATTCATTGTATTTGAGAGAAAAAATTTAATTCGCACCCAGGAATATACGGCATGGCGGCAGTTACAGGCTTTTGGTTGAATCAGACCTCTGTATCTACACTACTCCGGACAGTTGGCATGACCGCCTGGCTATTGCCTGGTTTAGAAGCCGGTTACGTACAACATGTGCAATACATACCGGAGTTGCGCTGTGCGATGACGAATCGTCCCAAGACGATGGCGACAACATTTCGATATCAAAATCCACATTGATTGAAGGTGATAAAGAGAAGGGAGAGGGAGGGGTGACAGGGGATAATGCTGATCCTTGGTTAGCTTTGGATGTTGGTTCAGATTTAATAGTTGGCTTACCTGAAAACATTTTTTTAAATTTATTTAGTGCCTTCAAGTTTTGCATACAACGTAACAAGTTTTCATAGAGGTCTCGAAACTAAGATTTTCTAAATGTTGGTCAGATTTAAGCTAGCGATACAGACCAGTTCGGAATTTCGACTGCGCATCCAGAACACTGAACCACAGAATACTACACAGAAGTCCATCTCCTTTGTTTTTTGCGTAAGCTCTATTCGTCATGATTCCGTCACTCAGTAAGTACCGTAAACAGAAGCAGTCACCCCTGGACGTGCGCCATTTTGAGTATCTCCATGGGGGGGGGGGGGGGACTGCTTCTGTTTACGGTACTTGTTGAGTGACGAATCATAACGAATAGAGCCTACGCAAAAAAAAACAAAGGAGATGGACTTCTGTCTAGTATTCTGTGACTGAACTATAACATGTACCTGAAACTAGATTTTCACTGTACCGGATAAGTTGTACCGAAGCGGCGCGAAAAAGCACCTATCCGATACGGAATGTACAACTTTCCGAAGGTGAGCGAAACAACATCTCTCCGTTGCAATAATTCCTTTGAAAATAGTGTTCCTAAAAGGTGCGGATAAGTGTTTTTTCACGTCGTTATACATTACTCCGATTCTCGATTGATCATAAGTCATTTTCCCTTCCATAGACAATTATGATGAGGCGATGATGATGGCACAGATATCAACATTGGAGAGCAGACGTGAACAGTTATGTAAAAAATATGCGACTAAAATGAAGAAGGAGGATTATCCCCTGCATTTTATGCTCCCAAAACCCAAGATGAGCGAATGCAGGTATTAGCTTACGAAATGGGCAAAACAATGCTTGTTTTGGTGAACACAATCAAATGCAGAACTTTAAGATCAGAACAATTTTTTACTTTTAAATATTTTTAATGCTTATACATAGTTTTAACAGGTATACTGTATGTATTCATTAATTTTTGTAAAAATAGTTTTAGTAAACTTTGGACTCGTTAATTCGGTGTAAATACTCAATAAACGTCAATTATTATAAGAGCCTCTAGTCCTGTACTAGGGTACATTTTGATTTACGTTGGTCAAAGTTACAGGTAGGTCGGACACCAATTCCGGCGGTTCGGACAAACGAAACCTAAGTTTCACTTATGTAGGTCGGACAGAATGTCCTGTGGTTTCCCCTCTACGTCGGACAGGCCTGAGTGAAACACAAATGATGATTGAAAAGTTGAATACTTTGATATATGCATAGCATTTTCTAATTCTCCAAGTCTCAGCTACATGTTATAGTTCGACTGCGATTTATCATTGCTCAATGCATGCCCATCATACGTCCGACAGATGTACAGACAAGACGAAAATAGCGCGATCTATAATGATGGTTGTGTTTGGTATCCTCAGTAAAAAATTAGAGTGAATATTGAAATTTCATCTTTGATCAATATGAGGTAATTATTCATCATTGGATACCACAAACCATTTCTTACTACACCTATCAAAGTTACTTTCTCAGCGAATGTTTAAAACAAAATAAACTAGTCGATCCCAACGATGGACCTTGAAACGTCAATCTGTTTAGGGCAGTGAACTCTATAAATACTGGAACAGTAACTTCAGGTAAACGGCGGTATGATTGGGCGAGGCCAAGATGGCGGCCATTAAAGTGATCTCTTGTAGGGGTAAAACATAGTTCAGAAAGACAAAAGTTTGCAGGTGTTTCTCCGCGGGGTTTTTTACTCGGCAAATAACTTTGCTTTTTATAATTAAGTGTTTCTAAAATGTACTTATCCTGAAAGACCACTGGCTCTAGTTTCGCCCGACTTAAAAAAATATTCGGCTGAAAAATTATGAAAATTCTACATGAAATGATGCCGATTTTTGATACTGAATTTAGACAGGCTTCAATTTCCACCATCTCCAGCTTCAAAAACACAGCCGGAGTTACTAGTATCGTTCCAGTTTTTACGAGTTCACTGGTTTAAGGTAGTTCAGGCACAACCTATAATGTCAACATACTGTAAGATAAATCATAATACACTACCCTCGAAGTACAGTAGCAAGCTTTACTCAGCGGGCAATGCAGAATTGTTAATGAAAAGCACCCATAATACTTACTTCTCTGGACAACAATTGATTGTTCACTTGAGGGTACAACACCTCCTGGGATATTTGAAACAGACTGAATCATTGCTTCAATATCTGAACTTGGTAATTGATTCACGGAAGGTGATGGAACACGTCCTGAGAAAATGTTAAAAAAGACTTTAGCTATTGCGAACGTTTTGCAGGTAAAATGGCTAACAATCTAGTTTTAGTTCGAACTAATTTTCATAAATTATCTTCTCAATAGGTGTATCGAGGCTGAGTGTTAAAATTGTAGGGCAATTATTTATTAGGAGTTTGTTACATTGTAGGGTAATTATTTATTAGGAGACAGGAGTTTTATTGTTAGTAGGTAAATTTGGTTTGTATATTATTATCTGTAATTAATATTTAATTTTCTCAGCATGTATTTTCTAGAGGCCTAACAAGCTTCATCAACTGGAGATGAAATAAAGTTATCTATCCATAAAGTTGTCATCACTTTGTTCATAAAGTTCATTATTTGGATAGAAAAAATGCAAAAAAAATCTGGGCACATGCAAACAGACTGTACCGCATTTTTAAATCAACTTTGAACCCTACCTGTTTCAATGTCAGATGAGAAGTTCATCACTGCCGTAGGTTCGGCCAGTTGAGGTGTGTTTCTTGATGATCTAGCAGGACTAGGTGACGCCCTAATATCGTTGATCCCCGACCCCCCTGACTCCGACTTGTGATCACTGATGATGGATGTTGCAGGACTCCGAGGGTCCTTTGCATGGATGCTAGGTGGCCGTGAGGACATGTTAGGGACACTGGGTGGTCGGGACGACATACTATGCATGTCAGACTGTGAACTTGGGTTGGCTGTATTGACGGCAGCTAGGATGGCCGCTGCTGCGGCAGCTGCTCCTGCATTCTGATTGGCTCCAGGTGATGTCACAGCTAAATATAGGATAATTACATGTTAACCCATCGAACAACAGCACTCCCCCCCAGTGTTTGCCACTGGAGAAAATCACACCAGCGCTTGATGAAATATTCAAAATTTACTACAAACCTTCCTCCTGAGGTCGGTAAGGTGATTTCTTACGCATACCAATAGTGACATTTGGTGAGACTGTTCCTCTCATGCCTAGTGATGGTGGGTAGCCCGGTTTGCCGGCCATCTGTGATCCTACCGGGCTTACAGGATAATTTGTATTTGGAAATGCCATTTGTCTCTCATCAACCATGTTCTAAATGTATAAGAAAATTGCATGGAATTAGGCCTAAAAAATACCTGTGGTTCCGGTTCCCGACCGACGCTATTTTTTCGGCTGACCCTATTATTTTTCCAACGCGATTGACCGTGCGACCCTATTTTCTTTGGGTGGTTGTGGGCTGCTCATACAGCGTGCCAAAATGGTGTCTGTTGTCAGACTAATTACTGAACCAAATTGCCTAAATTCATCCATAGGAAATACGCATCTCTAGTTAATATTGATGTCCGGGCTCTACTGCAAATCGCCCAGAAAAACCCGCTAAAACCATGGAAAAAATATTTTAAAAAAAAGTATTTCCGACCTACCGACCCTAATTTTTTCACGATATGAAACAGGAACCACAGGTATTTTTTTTAGGCCTTAGACACAAACAGCGACAAAGACAGATAGTAACGCAATAGGTCAAATTTCATTGTGTTACCCGCACAATAGAAGAAATCGCACATGTATCATGGCCTTTGCGGCAACGCAATTGTAACTTGATACCTTTGGCAATCACTGCAGTTACAGTAATTTACTGTAACTTTCGGCAACCATTGCCAAAAAATATAAAATTACACTGATTATATTTAGTCAGCCAGCCAATGAAAATCACTTTATTTGACAAGTGGACTGGCTGGTGAAAAGCGTATTTGGGGCAGCTAATCCAGTGCTGTGGGTTAGTAAAAGATATACCTCCAAGTTTATAAAATACTGTCGATACATGGCAAAACCAGTTCATTGCTAAGACATCACAAATTCATACACTTTTAAGCACATACTAGGATGAAAAGTTGAATACTTTGATATATACATAGCATTTTCTAATTCTCCAAGTCTCAGCTACATGTTATAGTTCGACTGCGATTTATCATTGCTCAATGCATGCCCATCGTACGTCCGACAGATCACAGATGTACAGACAAGACAAAAATAGCGCGATCTATAATGATGGTTGTGTTTGGTATCCTCAGTAAAAAATTAGAGTGAATATTGAGATTTCATCTTTGATCAATACGAGGTAAGTATTCATCATTGGATACCACAAACCATTTCTTACTACACCTATCAAAGTTACTTTCTCATTTCTTACTACACCTATTGAAGTTACTTTCTCATTGTGATTCACGAATCATGAATCGTTATTTCAAACCCTGAACGTAATATTTTTGTTTCTACAGATTAGACCACACTTCACAGTAATCAAACTTTAAGTGTCTAAAGTTAACTCATTAACGCCCAATGCGCCCTGAGATTGACAATTAAGAGCACTAAATATTATCAAACAAGCATGCCTCAATTTGGAAAACTCTGGCTTTGCATTTGTCTTACCAGACAAGAAATCATCGCATGTGTTGGCACTTCTCCCGCACCGGTAGCACGATTAAATTTGACCTGTTGTGTTGCCTGTGCAAGAAAAAAATCACAAATGTAACCTAGAATACCTTAGTGGTAACGAAGTACTGTAAATATTGTTTTTTTTCCCTTTTTAATAAAGCATGTAACATGTAACCAACATTATACAAATCTGACTGGCCATATTAAAAATTTGGCCGGTCGTTGACCATTGATATATCAGGGTGTTAGCTACAGTAAAAAATTCCGCGTTACATGCGGTTGTCCCAATTAGCCTTGAGGTCGCAATTTCCAAATTTGGGTCAGCCAAAAAATAGTTATAGAAATTCAATGTTGTTAATACGCCATTAAAAACATGTTTATAACTACATTTGCTCAAAATTACTCCCAAAATGCGGGAAATGCCATTTCAAAGACACAAAAATTTTAAAAATCAAGAGGGGGCAACCGCATGCCCCCAGACCCACAAAGAAATACCCGGCTTCAGGCTAAAATAAATTTCCCAATTTCAGGTAAACGCGGAGTTTTTTTTTACTTCTGGCTAACGCCCTGTATATTTTGAGCCTTGGTATCAATCATACCATGTCCAGCCGTCAAAAACGAGGTCGGCATTGCCGAATGCTGTCAACCTTCCAGGTCGGCAAATTTTTGCCAACCTTAATTCAACCAAAATATAAGAATTTTTTGGTGCTGATTGCTGTTAAAAAGTCAGTGATTACAGAATTCGATTCATAGTTCGAACTGAACACACTTCGGTGTAAGATTTAAAAATTGACGGGTATTCTACGGGTATTCTATATATATAATTTAGGTAAGACTCTAAACAAAAAGCTGTCGTGTTACTATAGTTTGCGTTTCCATGGAAAAAGGCATGCTTTATATTCCGATTTATGATTCGCAAATATGTGATTACTAGTGCTCCAAGACATGGAAACAGATTTTTAAAAATGCCGAAACGGCACGACTTAGGTCTGATTTAGGTCGGCATTTTTTTGCTGACCTAAATTTTGACGGTTTTCAAGGGCTGCATGTCAAAGAGACGAGAAGCGCATGAACTGACCACTGTATCATCTTACTTACCGGCATCATGGCGTGAGGCCCATTTGATTTTGGACTACCACTAAACTGTTGAGAGTACATGGCATCTTGGGAAGGTTTTGACATGACAGTCTGGCCGAAGGGACTTGAGGAATTTCTTTGATTGGCTGTGAGATAATTACCAGTCACATGTGGATGTTGAACTTGCTGATATTGCTGGAATAGAAACAAATTTGCTGTAATCAATATTGACACAGTAACAAAACCAATCATTTGTGATGTCAAATGTGTTCAATTCACAAAAGCTCGAATTGTTTATAAGTTTGCTGACAAGAATTAAAGTTTAGCCCGCTGAAAGGCAAACGTTCACCCTTTTGACAAGTAAAATTGCGTGCTGTTAGACAGAATAAAATAATAAAGTGGGGCATATTCAGCATTTCAGGTTTTGGTGGAAGTCTCTGGACTACAGGGTTCGAATTAGTTGAGAAAAAATTATGTGCAATTTTTGGGACAAGATTTGCCTCTGAATCACATGTTTTAGATAGCATGCCTGTCATAATACAGTATGTCCTTTCAAGAAGTGGCACTTTAAACAAATTTTGCATGCATTATAAAATCTCTAGAATATATTAGAAACAACTGAACTGAAATTATCCTTTTTACAAAAGCTTGGATATATAAAAAGAGGAAAATAAGCATTAGTCACAACCAGTTTACTAATAACAGATTTTTGGAACATCATTTGGAAAAGTGAATGGTGGCGAAAAATGTTCTGACAATGGAGACAAGGTGAATTTGCTACAAACTTATCTGACTGAACCACCGGCAAAATTCACTGTTCTAAATCTGAAACATTGGCATTTGGGCATAGTGCCCATTAAGCTACAAATGCACAAGACTTTATTATTTTACACTGCCTGAATGCCAACCAATTGTATTTGTTACATACAATTTTCCCAATTATGCTTAGCTTGCAATTTGCCAATTCAGATCTACCAAAAATAACATAACTATTATGAAAAAAAAATGTATATATATATAAGATTGTTCAACTTCAAAATTTTGCTCAAGAAAATTTGGAAACCAGATCAGTTTTGCAAGGATGTCATCTAGCCTGAAAATATATTTGTTTGTTTTTAGTATGCCAAACAATGTCAGTTGCATGTTAAAGGTTTTAATTTAACTCAGCGAAGTCCGCAAGAATGCCACTCTGTCTCAAGAACATGCAATGTGCCATGTTCTGTGTCAAAACATTCAGGAATGCCATCCTACAGTACACGCCTTTACCGCTAAATGTCAAACTACTATTAGCTAATCTCAGCATAATTTCTTGTGGATCAATCAGACTTTGCAATTCCCAAGATGTTGATTTCCTGACGAAAGGAATGTGGTTGCATAATTCCGGAATAAAAACATAACACCTTCTTTTTTGCAGGCAAGAGGATCCACAGTTTTGGTAATATTTTACTCTGTCTTACACCAGACAATGTTACTCGTAAATTGCCAATTAAAATTCATTTTTCATCTCGCTACCACTCTTACTGGAAGCAGTCTTCTCAACTCAACTACTCTATCACAGAATAGATACCGGACCAGAAGTGTCACTCCTATGTGTTTTGGCTGAAGGAAAACGTCCGAAATTTTTTTGCGTGCTATGACGTCATCCTGGAGTGCACCCGGCACTTTGTACCTATGTTTTCCTATGAAAAACTTCCGTGTGCACTCCAGGATGGCATCATATGATGGCGTATTTTCACGTCAGCACTCGTAAAATTTCGGACAAAATATCGTCTGAGTGACACTTCTGGTCCTGTATCTATTCTGTGACTCTATTTAGAACTTACATTTGCCATCTGTCTCATTTGCTCTTGTTGATAGAAGTCTTGAGGATTAAAACTACCGCCAATGCCTCGAGCGACAAAGGGTTGTTCGCGAGATTGCTTGTACATATCACCCGTCATGTATGGTGACGGCATTTGGTAAGGTTGCTGTGTTGAGCCTCCTGCAACTGGACTGGGAAAATTTTGATCTGGCGGTATGTTTGGACCGAGATTTGGATCAACACGTACCTGAGAAAATGTGATGATGGTTTTGGGTTAACAAATTACTAGTCTACCCATTATTACGAGTCTACCCATTGAGCTAATGTACATAGACTGCAGGCTCTCTATGAATTTTGATTTTTCAAACACATGCAACAATTTTTACATCAAATTCAAAACTCATATGATGAAAATCAATAAATGTAAATAGGCCATCACATCATAAAAATTTTTGTCCTTGTCTCTATCACGATTACCTCCTGGGGCCGGTTGTACGAAGGCCGGATTGCACTATCCACCGGGTAGTGATTTTTTCAAACTTTGTTAAATTAGTCGTTGATTGTTATAACTCATATTAAAGTTTAGTATTTATAAGTTAACTTTTTTTTATACTTTTTTCTTCGTCTATATCCGTAGTTTCGCAGTTTTTCAAGCATTTTTACAAAGGTTGAAAAAATCACTATCCGGTGGATAGCGCTATCCGGCCTTCATACAACCGGTCCCTGGTTCATTGCTTACAGAAATTCAAAAATGTTTTACCCAGATATTTTATGTCAAGACCGATTTTTTAACTTAAAACTTATAAATTCATTGTGTGCAGTGGATCAATGGACTATAGAGGAAAACTTATCATTTCAATTCTAATTTCAAAGTCACAGAATAAAGATCAGTACCAGAAGGGCCACTCAGCGGTGCAACGTGTCACCATTTTTCTATGCAAAAATATGCAATTGACTGGCCAGGAAGATTGCGGCCAGCCAATACAGCGCGTTTATTGGCCAGAAAATGTAATCGACTGGCTAGGAAGATGGCGGCCAGGGTGACAGAAACTTCAAAGCTTCCGATGTAAGTGGCCCTTCTGTGTGCCTTATTCTGTGTCACAGGCTAGTGTTGTGAAATGCAAGCGCTCGCCGGCAGCTGCTTCAAACCCTGCACTGGTTTTCTACTACCATGTACCTGAAATTGTTTGTGCAAAGAAAATACAAAAATTTCAGTTAGGGGCTGTTTTATATGGAAGCTGAGCGGGCCTGCTTAGCGAGACTGCCAGGTAAGCGAGATCTCGCTGTGTAGTTACTTTTATAGTAAAATTTAATATGTGTTTGTGTGGACAAATAGGGTTTTGTATGGACAAACGGGCTGGTCCGGTTGCCAAGATCTTGTTTGAAGGTGGCAAGATCCTACTTAAGAGAAATTCATCCCTCTTACCGGGCTGTCTTGCTAAGGGCGGTAAACCGGCTCCCATTTAAACAGCCATTTAGTATAAAAAATTAACGGCAAAAAAGCAGGATACATTGCATGCCGTCAAGTTAAGCCTACTGCATACAAAATGCATCCTGGTATTTACATAATTATGAGTGGCATATAAAAACGCAGTATTATGACAGATAACATGAGACCAAATTCAAATTAAACACTCAGTATTAAAAATGCAACCACAAAAAGCATGTGGTTAACATCACAGAGGAAATAGTAGAACCAATCAAGCATGATCAGCCAAAATTCATAAACACACATTAAACAACACAATACAACTGGCAGAGATGCAAACAATTCCGCCAAAAACAAAAGAAAAACAACAATAGTTCGCTTACTTGTACTTGTGGCATGCCAGGCTTGCTCACGGGTAGTGACCGTTGTCTATTGTTTCTGCTGGCAAACTCGGGAGACCATGGGTTGCCAGCCATACTTCGCTGTTGAGAATAGTTCGGTTGTTCCACGTTTTTATTCATGCTATACATATCTTGGGGACGAAATTTCCGTGCCATTGCGAGCTGATAGGACTCGCTAGAATTTGAATCGTAAATCCCTCCGTACGGGCCGGCGGCCGCCATGTTGGAATTCGGGTTGTATTTCATTCTGGCCATATTTTCCAAACTGTCTTGAAACTGCCGCGACTGTCCACCGAAACTATTCATCCCTTGGTTAAAATGGTTCGGGGGAAATGCAGTGGGGATCTGATTCCCCATTGCAGCTTCGCCGAGCGCGTTCTGAGACAAAGGCATATTTGCAGCAAAATTTGGCGATGGAGCCTTCATGCCCATGTTGTTATAATTGATAGGCATGTTGTTTGAAACATACTCGCCCAAGTTCGGCTTCTGGGGCAAATTCATGTTCGTTGCCATCCCCACTGGGAATTAGAGATGTTCCTATCGTGTTTTTATAATCTTTGACTCACCTACGCGTTCTATCGTTTATACACAATTGATTCCATATTTCCACATGTTATATTTTTGAATCGTGTTTTCACAACAATAACAATGGATTTCGCTATAGATTTAGTTAATATCGTAGAATTTTAAGATGGTGTATTGTAGATGGTGTTATTACGACGATCGTAATGCCAGTTTTATTGTACACCGTAAACAAATGGCCTTTCTGGCCATTGGTCAGTAAAATGTGCTCGCAACACGCCAATACGTCTTGAAATAATACCACGATTTTTACCAGAATTAAGCACGTTTCGCACAACAAATCACGCCAAGAACACGCACTAAGACTCCAAGATACTGTCTACGTTGTCCAATCGCCGTCAAAGGACGTAAAAACGCAAAAAATACAACGGTTTTTGTAATCTTTTCAAAAATTTCGGGCTTTCTTTTCTTGTGTATCACTTGACACAGTGGCCGCGCTCTATCCAGCGTGACGTCACGAAAACGTGCGCGCGCATAGACGTCATGCCCCAGCTGGCAGGAAATGCTGCGGGCTCTATCAAAATGCTTCCACTTCAGAGTAAAAAATTCTACGCTTCTAAATTTCTCATTACGTTTTGTACATAGAAATGTCTTGAATGTTTCCACTGCAATGTAAAGAATTCTAATTTTTCAGATATTTTTTCTCTAATATAACTTCCTTTTAATTTCCTAATATAAGTTTGATTTCCTTTCGTTTGCAACTACTATTGGCTAGTTTTCCTCGAAAATCCCTAAAGCATCGGCAACCATAGCCTCCTCGCAGACGTATTTCTTACGCCAAGCGTCGTCGCTTGCAACTGCGAGCAGGCTACGGCAACCACGATAATTTTCCAATTTTTAATGTACAACAGTGTACTTTTATGTACTTGTGAAGCCATATTGTACTCTAGTATACCATGATGTATATTATTATCCTAAAATGAACAATGTTGTATCATAAATATCCTATAACGTACTTCTAATGTACTTTTCTATACTGCAATGTACTCTATTATACTGTTATGAACTATAATGTACTACATATTTCCTAAACTATACCATGATGTATATTATTATCCCAAGATAAACTATTTCGTACAACATGTGTCCTATAATGTACTCACATTGTACTGTCATATACTGCGATGTACTCTATTATACTGCTATGATCAGTAATGTACAGCCAGTTCAGCCAGTGTACAACATATTTCCTAAATTATACCTATGGTGTACTCTCGTATACCATGATATATACTATTATCCAAAAATGAACTATGTTTTATTACAGGTGTCCTATAGTGTCCTATATGTACCGGGATGAAATTTTTCAAAGCTTGTACATATATTGAAAATGTAAACAAATAATGTTAAAAGAAACTCAAAATTCGTACGTCAACTACAAAATCATGACTACAATAGTTACAACTTCATTTACACTACACGCAACAATAGTACTGAATTTATACTAATAAATAATGGTTACCTGTTGTGACTTTGGCGCCTGCAAACAATCACACCGCCACCGCAGATTATGCTAATTGGCTTTAACAAACCTAGCACCAGATTTTCTCGGGTACAGAGACCATTTATACGTAGAACGCATTGTTCTCATTGCTTCCAGGTGACACTATCAACCGAAAAGCCGCAACATAAATAAACTGTAATAAGGCTTGGGCCAAAATTCGTCTGCAAGGTTGATGAGGTATTTGTCACATTAACTATACTGAGTTCATCATCTGATTCGCATGTCTCTGTACAATGTAGTTAAAATGGATTTATCTAGCACGAAAGCAGACCTTTTACAGTGGAATTTTCAAAATAATGAAAGGATAATGGAACATTCATGTCACTGGTGGACTGGATCGTGACTGGATGGGAATATACTATTGTGTGCACGATAAACGGATTTGCAAAATACAAGTCAAAACAACGCCTGGCACAGAGAATAGTAAGATTTTCGAAAAAAAAAAAAGAGGACAATGGAACATTCCGCCTAAGAATAGCAGTTACATAAGACTAATAACTCATAAATCGAAGATCTAAAAAAGCAAGGTATGAACGGGACTCTTGAAAAAGGACCCATGCAAGGCACCTGCCAAGCATTTAGATTTTATGTACTTAAATGTTACACATATTACTATATTGTATATTAAAAATTCTTAAATGGAAGAATGAATTAAGAAAGAGAAAGTACTGTATAAGATAGGAAGTATACAGCGATAGAGTATAAAGTATAAGCAAGACAAACATGTGGAAAGACAAATAAGACAGACATAGACATACAAACAGGCAGTTATTTATGTCCTGTGGCAAGATAGACTGTCTGAAGAAGACTATGAGAGCAGGGCCGGAGCTACGGGGGTGTGGGGGGGGGGGGTGTGTGACACCCCCCCAGTAATTGTATTCAGTCGGCAGGACTGCTATTCAGTCGGTAGGACTGCTATTCAGTCGGTAGAACTGCTATTTGGGTTAAATATTTTTGGCGTTAAATATTTTTGGTGGTGGGAATTTTAGGAAAATTTTGAGGAAAAATGTAAAAATTTTGGAAAAATGTAAAGGGGTCAAAGGATTTTTTACTTGCATATAGGTGACAGAATAATGGTGTGGTTGGGTGGGAGAATTGGAGAAAGGCCAGACAAACTCGATTTTGGGTGCGGGAGCTTGAATCTAGAGGATCTTAGTTCTGGCAAAGATTTGCTTACCCCCAACCACTCACAAAAACTGTTTCAAAACATATAACTGTGAATCATGGATATTCAATATATACCAACCTTAAATTTGCATTTGAGACAGCAATGAGTATTACGTTCTCCCACTCTAATCTCTTTTGGGGAGCTTCGCTCGCCCCAATTTTACTTTCTTTTCCATTACGCCAGCACGTAAGTGATTTGTGAGGAAAATAGGAGGGTCTGGAGTCCTCCCCCAGAAAACGTTTATATTTTTGATGCTCAATTAATGACAGAAATTCTGGAAATTTCTGGAGCATCCACAAGGGTAACGAGTAAATGAGAAGACTGTTTTAAGGCTATTTTTGTTAGTTTGGTGACTGCACATTTGTGTTTTAAGAGCTGCACAAATGGGTTTAGAACTGCACATTTTGTGTAGAACTGCACGTTAAAATAAACCCTGAAAATGTATTTAAGTAATGGGAGTCATGGAGAAAGGATCAACATCCTTATACACAGGCTGTTCCAGGGTTAGACTATGCGGTTAAAGAAAGATGATTGCATGTAGTAGTTCAACACAAAGGAGTTTGAAGGATAACACTAGCAACCCGGCTGAGTCTAGTACGGCCATGTGCAACGACAGTCACATAATTGTTAATGTTATAAGATTAATATAGCCGTACAGGGCCTTAAAAAGCAACGTAATTAGGTCTTTGCTTTCTCTATCGTAGCAACTAAAGAGGAAGTAAGTCTAATGTTAATAGTCGCTGTTTATAGGGCATTTCACCCGTCTTGTTTTCAATATCCATTCGGTCGCTCTCCTTTGAACTCTCACAATTCTTTCAAATTCTCACGTAAAATCCCTAAGCTAGAGTTGATTCTTGTAAATTCGCAAGTTATTTCAAGGTTTTTTAATCATTTCCGAAACTCTTAGGGATTTTACGAGAACTGTTTGCGGTCATGCAGCATTAATTTCGGCAACTTTTTGAAACATTTTTTTAGATTTATGAGCGCGGTCTTATACACGAGGAATTGTGACGTTAATACACACCTAAGCATAGCTTAGCTGTACATAATCCAATTTTACTTTTTGTATGGCTTAGCATGTATAGTAATCCAATTTTTCTTCCTTAAAGGTAATTTCTGTTTTGGCGCCTTTTCAACAGCCTAATGATTGTCTAATCGCATTTTTCCTAGGCTATAAAAACTCGGCAATGTTATGTTTCCAAACTAAACTCACGTAAGTTTAGTTCAGACAGATCATGAGAATATATAAGTGAACATCAATTCACTCGCTCTGGTGGTCTAAATCTCCATTTTCAAGACAGGCTATTTCAAAACAAGCTCTTTAAAGGTATGTAAAATTGGCCTGCTTTCATATTTGACAAAGGCCAAAAGAGAGTCATTGCATGCTTTTCAGGAAATGTCGATTATATAGCTGTTCAAATGTAGCAAAATTACAGACGTATATTAATCTGCGCATCTAAACTATATGACGCGATTTGCATCGCGATAAATTTCAATTCAACTATATAACATGTAGCTATAAGACTGCATGGAAGAATTAGAATACATATCAAAATATTCAACTGTTCAATAATCACTTGAATACAGCTAATTCAAAAAAGGTTGTCCTTTGCAAACCTTAAACTCTAAACCTTAAACCTTAAATTCTACGGCGTGCAAAGCATAATTGGAGCATCATTTAAGGTAATTCCGCAGTTTTGCATTGCGCACTTTTACTGCGCACATCTTATAACTTATAATTTCATCCATTATACGTACCACAAAAATGTAGCTAGTGTGTCTGTATAGCATATTTATTTACTTGTATTTCACGTTTTAATGCCACAATTCCCTAAAAAGATCGGTGACCCCCGTTTTTTAACTGATAATTTATTTCTTTAATGCATTTTACATTTCATATCCGAAATTAAAAGAAAAATCATTTCTGGATCTTGAATAAAATGCTTTATCAATGCATGTTCTCAAAGAAAGATATGTGAAGAAATGTGGAAAAGACATTTGTAGATCAGAATTGTACACGTTAGTAGTTTCATTTTGCTCAAAAGACACTAATTTTTTCAAAAATAATTACAAGATAGGTTTACTAAAGCAAAATCCGCGCTAAAAAGTCAATAAATATCGGGTTGTTGTGAGTTTGCTGTTACTCATAACGAGCGTCAAGATTGCGCCATATTGGGGTAAAGGTGGTATATATTGTGATTGTCATATCTTCTTAACGAGTTCGGGGACTCCGACTTTTTTGTGTGATTTTACTTTAAGTATATCATAAACTCCATGCCTGGGAAGTTTCAGCACATTCTCATTTCGGGAACAATTACTGCGGAATTACCTTAAATTAATCAGTTTAGACATCTTATATCTTATATGGGGTCCATTTCTTAGAGACATGAAAGCTTGAAACCTGTGCTCCCATTAAGCTTTGCGCGCTTAGAGCCAAGGTTTAGCGTTTAAGGTTTGCAAAGGACAACCTGTTTTGAATTGTCTGTATGCAAAACGTTGCGCAAAAACAATTAGGTGGACGCACAATTGACTCGTTTCAAAATAGAGAATAATATTTTTTCAATGTCACGTATTTGCGATAAAGCCTTCATTATGGAAAATTTTATCCCACTTCACAGAGATCCCACCTAGCGCAAGGAGATATATAGCACCTAGCCGAGCTGTCCCAAAATGTGCAACGTTGTTATTAGTTGACTCATTTTCACGGCTGATGCAGTGCCCCACAGTGAGGATCAAATACCCCACATGGCGAGGTCACAAGTTAGTGACAAATTCCACACCCCAGGATCGGAGATGGAAGCGGAATATTTT